CTACAGAGAATACAGGAATGGAGTTCCTCTAAAGTAGCTGTCATGGAGTTCCTCTAATGTAACAATAGTGATCACAACCCAGGCTCCAACATCAATGAACAGTAGCTGGCTTTGTCCTCATTTTAAGGAATGATGAAATATTTAAGAAGCAGACTTAGGCTACGTCTAGACTACAAAGGTAAGCCGGAAAAAGATACGCAAATTGTGAACCACAATTTGTATATCTTTTCCACTTTTCTGTCGAAAGAATCTTTTTCAAAATTTGGCGCATCTGTATGGTGCCAAATTTTGGAAAAACCTGCTTTTTTGACAGGTGCCAAATTTTGGAAAAACCTGCTCTTTTGACAGATACTTTCTTCCTCATAGAATGAGGGTTACAGGAGTGGTGAAGGAACATGTCCGCTTTTCCAAAAAATTTTTCGGAAAAGTGGATGCATTCCTCTGGTATCTCGGAAAAGTGCTGCAGTCTAGATGTAGCCTTAGTCTTGGAAATTTGATCAGGCCTACAAAACATTTTCTTAAGTCCCCTTTCTTAAACTATTCCTGTCTAATATTCCACTATTTTACATATATCCCACATGTTGGTAAAAAAATTATTTGGGTACACACAAACATATTGTTAGGTGAAACAAAATACAGGACTATGTAGCACTTTAAAGACTAACAAGATGGTTTATTAGATGATGAGCTTTTGTGGGCCAGACCCACTTCCTCAGATCAAAAAATTGAAGTGGGTCTGGCCCACGAAAGCTCATCATCTAATAAACCATCTTGTTAGTCTTTAAAGTGCTACATAGTCCTGTATTTTGTTTCAGCTACACCAGACTAACACGGCTACATTTCTATCAATATTGTTAGGTGATCTGCTTGATCTTCTGCTGCAGAAATAGAGCCCTACTGCGAGTTACTGTCAACAGTAGTCATTAATTTATACCAGTTCCATTTTGCAAGGCAATTCTTGCAAGGAAAAGGGCTAGAAAACTTTTAATCAATGTCTCTTATGCAGATTCTAGCCTCTAAGGAGGTTAATTGGTTTGATGCCACAAAACTTATGTTGTGGCTGGAAAAGCATTCAATTTAATATGCATAATTTAAAATAGTTAATCCATTTTATTTGTTGCGCTGAGGTAACTGTTATTTCTTAATTATTTAAATTTAGGATTTATGGTATCAAAGGATAAAGGAAAAAAAATCATTGTCTGCTGACTGTATAGAATGGAAAAAAACAGTTGGCTGGCCAAAACTGTTCCACCCAAGCTCTTCTTGCCAAGATACACAATTTCTGTCAAATCATGCTCCTTTCCACATATAAGATTGAACCTAAAAATGCTTTTGAGATCTATCCCATACACTTCTCTTAGCTATCAGAGTGCAGGAAAAGGCCAAAGTGGGCCAATCTAAACCCAGTAAACAAAAACATTGGTAAACAGTAGCTTCTTGTAAGGCACGGGTGGGGAACCTAACGCCCAATCCGGTCCCTGAGGCTCAGGGCTCATGAGGGGTAGTTTTTGTTTTGTTTCTCACTTGTGTGCAGACTCCAACTGATTTTTCTGTGAGTCAGTGGTCCTGACCCAAAAAAGGTTCTCCACCCATGTTGTAAGGTTTCTGTGGATGAGAAAGAATAAACATAAAAATACATACATTCTTAAGTCCTCATAGTGCTTTGAATCACTATTTATGCCATGTGATGTGAGTGATTTTCAAAATTGTATTTTCCATGCTTTTCATTACTGAAGATTGAAGTTCAAACCATGACACCAATTATTAGTGAAATGGAGTTTGGCAGTCTTGTCATAGTACTCATTTATTCATATCAGCTTTCAAATTATAGTATAATTTAGTGCAATGTTACACTCAGTTTATGATGAGAGGTCCAGGACTGATTTCCAGGACTAACAGAAGGCAAGAATGAAGAGACTGGACAAATGTACATGTGAGTAGTTTGCATAATGATGGCCCAGACTGGTGTATGTTTGTGTCAAATCCAGAGCTATTAGTCGGAATTTCAACGTCACTAAATTCACTCAGAAATTTTAACAATCTAAACAAAGGAGGAAAAAAGACATAATCTCGAGTTACAATGTTGGTGGTCTTTATGTTGGCATTCTGACACTTAACTTAAAGTCTGTAGACTGACTTAAGTACCTTCTCACTGCTTACAGGTAATTGCTACAAAAGTATGTTGAAGGAATTGGTGGGAAGAACTTATCTTCTCATAGATACTCTAGAAAAAACAAACAAACAAATAAACAAACAAAAACACCTTAAGGTAAAATCTTAATGTTAACATTCCCATTGTCTTCAGTGGAATCAGGAAGGATATCCTCTTATTATCCAGTAATTTTAACCTGACATCTCTCATGAGGGATAACTTAATATATTAAAAAACAAACAAACATGTTGCAGAATAGTCCAAGTAAACTTTGCCTACTAACATTCTAAAAAAAATTAATGGGGAAAAAGTGTAATTGATTTCAGATTGAAACAAGGTTGCTTTGCTCCCACAAAGAATTTTTAATAAAAGTTCCCAGAACTGGAGATTGGTTTAGAGAGAATTGATATCTATCTTTTCACTCTTTCAAAGTGCAAAGAGAAGTTGTGTATATAGTGCTACAGTTTAAAGTATCATGGAACTGTAGAACTGGAAGGCACCACGAGACATTATCAAACCAGACCTCTGCATTGTGGCAGGACATGTAACCAAACACTAATCTTGTCAGGTGTATGTCTAACCCAGCAGCTCTCAAACTTTTTGGGCTCCAGAGCCCTTTACACGCATAAAAATTTATGCGGAGCCCCAGCGGTCCACTGATTGTACGTGTTTATACCTATCGATGTTTCCAGTTTGTCAGCCTCGCAGAGCCCCTGGAGATGTCTCGCGGAGCCCAGTTTGAGAAACACTGGTCTAACCTGTTTTTAAAAACTTCCAGTGATGGTGACTCCACAGCTTCCTATTTCAGAGCTAAACTACGCTTATATTTGGAAAGATATTTTTCACAATATTTAACCAATTTCTTCCTTGCTGTGGATTAAACTATGGAAGTAAGGGAGCAGTTGAGTAGTCATCCAACTGCTAAGTCAAGGTTTATAGGTTAGTTAAGTTGACTACATGCATTCCCGCTGCCTTGCTGCCTCTGGATCAGCACCATCAGTACTGCCTACCCCATCACCTAGGGTTGCCAGGTTTTCGGTATTGAGCCAGACAGTCTGGTATTTTTTACTTCTGTCCAGTTAAAAAATTCAGAAAATACCAAACATCAAAAATGTCTGGTATTTACGTGAGATCGACAGGAGTAATCAATGGTAATTCAAACTTTTGACTGTATTGAGCCAGACAGTCTGGTATTTTTTACTTCTGTCCAGTTAAAAAATTCAGAAAATACCGGACATGCGTAATGTCCGGTATGTGTATCCAACGGAGCAGCCTCTGTCCATGCTGGGACCCCCTGTGGACAGGAACTGCTAGACTTGGTGTGAAATGGGACTGAGCTACCCCTGCTGTGACTCTTCATTTTAAATATAGCAGGAGCCAGGCTGCTTGCCTCTTACTACATTTAAACCACAAAGCCGCAGTGAGGGGTAGCTCCCAGACCCGAAGCTGAAGCTTTCCCCCCTTATCCACTGATTGTGTTGCTGATAGAATGTCTAATTACTCGCTTCCTACCATTCCTAGATTAAACCTATTGTTTCTTGTTCTACATTCATTTGATGTAGAAAACAATTGATCTCTGTAACAACCCCTAATATATCAGTTTTCTTCTCTCAAGGCTAAAATATTCCTAGTTTTTTTTACTGTTTTTCAAAGGTCAGATTTTCTAAACTCTTTATCATTATTGTGGCTATCCTCTGAATTTCCTCCAGTTTGTCCACATACACTTTAGGAAGTATCACCCAGAATTTGGACTCAGACTTTGAGGCTTCATCTGTGCTAATTAGAGCATGATAGTTTCCTCCCATACCTTATATATGGTGCTCCTGTTAATATACCCCAGAAGTATATTTCCTTTTTAACAACTGCATCACATTATTGGCTCAGTTTGTAATCCACTATAACCCCAAGCTCCTGTTCATCAATACTACCAGATAGCCCAGAGGTGCTGGCAAAGCCACTGGATTTGGCCCATGGCCGGCTCACAAGCACTCTTAGGCAAAGAGCACACTTTAAACAGCTGGCTGCTCTGTGTTCTGGATGCTGGAGAAGGAGAAGGAGGCTTCAGGCACTGCTCCAACCCCCTAGCAAAATCTCTCAGCTCCCATTGGCCAGTTTCTGGCCAATAAGCGCTGATAAATTTTGCTGGGACGGGGCCATGTGTGAACCCGCCACCAGATCAGGTCAGGTGGAGCAGCCAGCTGACCACCCTGGGACTTCAGCAAACAGGCAGAGAACCTCCCAGGCAGAGCCTGCATATGGGATCCCACCCTCTCTTTCCCCACAAGTACCTGCCTCAGGCCACCACCCAAACTCTCTGTACCCCTTTCCCTCCTTGAATATTATCACAGGTTTTAATTTTGTTTTGCACCTGTAATTTAGTTTTCTCAAGAACCGTAAATACCTATTGGCGGGTAAACAATTAAACATATGGATTAGCAGCCTGGCCTGGGGTCTCCAGGTTTCTAGCAGGAGATCCCATTTGTACACAGTCAGAGGACTAGATGCACATCCAAGTCCCCTCCCCGGGGGCAGGGAGGCGGGTGTGTCCGGCGCTGCCGGGTGCCCAGGTGACATGACTTGAGTAGGGCGGGACTCGTGGGCGCTGCCTCGTCTCAGAGCCTCCAAGGTGTCGACAGGCGGCGAGTGACCCCGCCTTAGCGCCCCCGCAGGCAGCTGCTTCCTTTCACGTCACCAGGGGGCGGCGCCTGGGGAAAGCGGGAGGGGCTGTCCCCGCGCTTTGGGTTTCCAGTCCCCACCGGCTTAGAACGCGCTCGGGACAGGGAGCGTCTCTCCCAACACCACGTG